CAACAAACATAGCACTCTTAGGCATTTCATCGAATACATTGAAAGCAAGCCGATTTTTTTCTTAGATTAGAAAGACGGTGGTTTATGTTAATCCCTAGTCCTCACAATTCCATATTCAATTACCCAATCACAATACAATTAACCCCAATCTCCTTCAAGTCATCACTTTTCATCTCACATAACAAAGTGGTATAGCAAAAGATAAGCGATTTATTTTCATACCTTGAACTCCTTAGGAGATAGATGGACTTTTGCATTCTTTAGTGAATGAATGTCGTTTGATAGTTTAACCAATGCCGTGTGGTGTGTTTTTCGTGAGATGTATGTGTGTGAGTGTTTGATCGTGGGAGAGGAGGGACGAAGAGGAGTGGCTGAGTGCGTGTTGTGTGTTAAGGATGTGTGGGTAATGTGTACCCGTGACCAGTTTTTTCCATGCAGCCACATGGTGTTAATCCATGCGGTCACATAGAATAAACTTGGCCTCCCTTCAATTCTGGGTTGCTGCCCATGCGGCCACATGGACATTATGTCTACGCCGTCGCATAGACAAAAGTCTGAACCAATGTTTTTTTATTTTATTTTATTTTATTTTTTTATTATTATTTTTAAATGCATGCCCACGTACTAAAATTGTTGTGATAAGTGTATAGACTTGAAGGAATGTGCAAATTTGACCTTTTCCCAAAATAAAATAAAATAAATTGATCTCGATTTTCCAATTGTGATGTTGACCTAACCTTCTATTGCCCATAACTTAACCTAAACACCTTTTTAGCCAACGGGGGTAAATGTAGACCATAACTCAGTTTCAAAATCAATTTTATGATTAAAATCATACCTTAACCTTGAAAAATTTTTAGACGGCTCTATTTGCCTCAAAATGTGTGAGACTCACAATTAACTACCAAAACAAGAATTTAAACCTCATGACTTGCGCTCAATGCACAGGGACTAGTGTAGACCATGTTTCAACTCTGTATGACCTATATGGATGACTGATGACCTACAGCTATCAACCATGCTAGAAATTGAAAAATTCCTAAACTAATACAAAAAGAAAAATAAATTAAAAGAACACGATGGGTTGTCTCCCATCCAGAGCTACTTTATAGTGGATAGCTCGACTCTTCCATATCTGCTTCTTTCTACTATTTTGAGATGGACGGTGGACTTTTCCTTGGAAAATTCTCCACTCTAGTAATGCTTCAGCCTTTGTCCATTGACCGTGAAAGTTCCTTTGCTTTCATGGCTAATCTCAATGGCTCCATTTGGTACGATACTATGCAATTTGTGCGACCAGATGTCCATACAATATGGGATTAGCCGCATCAATGGCATCTTTTATCTTGGTTGGAGGAGAAATTACCAAACGTCTAGCATTCCCTCACGCTTGGCGCCAATGAGGTTTTTTTTATTTGAGAGAAAAAAGAAGACTATGCCTTCACCATATGAATATTAAGTAATAATAGCATGGCACTTCGAATTCGATATGCAAAATTTTTGTCTTGTTTTTTTTCAAAAGATTCAATTATGTATCGAGAGAGTAGTATGAGATAAAAGGTATTTCCGATTTCTCTTATCTATCGGGAGTCTAGTTCAGCGTGACAAACTTTTTTGTTTTCACACCGAAGGGCTCTTAACAATATTTATGTTATAAAAAAAGCATCTTCGTAATGGTATAAGGACCTAACTACCTTGACTTCAATTTTCCTGGGAAAAGCTTGAGTCTAAAGTTATACAATAGCATTTTCTAACCCACTTCAAACTTTTACCTCTGAATATGTGAATCATGCCACTTTTTGATGTGTTCCTTGTAGAGTTTTGAATTCTCAAATGCTTCCATTCTGAACTCATCCAACTCGTTAAGCTGTAGCACACGTTTTTCACCAACTGTCTTCAGATCTACATTCAACTTTTTCATTGCCCAATATACGTGGTGCTCTAACTCAAGTGGCAGGTGGCATGCATTCTAAAAAACAAGACAGAATGGGGACATGCCTATGGGTGTCTTAAATGCTGTTTTGTAAGCCCACAATGCATCATCCAACTTCTTAAACCAGTCTTTCCACGAAGAACTTACTACGACCTCAAGTATTCTCTTGAATTGCCGATTGGAGACTTCAACTTGCCCGCTGGTTTGGGGATGATAGGGAGTGGCTATTTGATACTTGACGCCATATTTACTCAAGAGATGCTCAAACTGGCGATTGCAAAAGTGCTTACCTCCATCACTGATTATAGCCCGTAGTGTGTCATAGCGGGTGAAGATGTATTTTTTTAGGAACCCAATTACCACCTTAACAAGCCATAGCAGGTGAAGATGTATTTCTTTAGGAACCCAATTACCATCTTAACATCGTTGGTTTGTAATGCAGTTGCCTCCACCCACTTGGATACACAGTCAACTGCTACCAGAATGTATTGATTGGAGAACAAAGGAGGGAAAGGTCTCATAAAGTCGATTCCCCAAACATCAAATATCTCCACCGCCAAGATACTATTTAACGGCATTTCATTCCTCTTTAACATATTTCCAGTGCGTTGACATATATCACACCTCTTCACAAATTCAAAGGCATCCCTGAACAATGTAGGATAGTAGAACCCCGACTGTAAAACCTTGAGTGCTGTATTTGAAGCTCTAAAGTGCCCCGTATATGTAAATGAATGACAATATTTCATAATTTAAGGCGCTTCTTCTTTAGGCACACACCGTCGAATAATCTGATCTGTCCCTCGCTCGTAGAGAATAGCATCCTCCTAGAACTAATATTTTAACTCTGTAAAGAATTTCTTCCTCTGGTGACTAGAGTAATCTGGTGGAAAGATGAATTTGACCAAATAATTGACAATATCAATGTACCACGGTGCTCCTTCCACACCGAATATCTGCTCATTTGGGAAGATCTCGTTAATGTGTACTGACCTTTCAGGTTCTGCAAGCTTCACTCGAGATAAGTGATCTACCACAACATTTTCGCTGCCCTTTTTATCCCTGATTTCTATGTCAACTCGAGATAAGTGATCTACCACAACATTTTCGCTACCCTTTTTATCCCTGATTTCTATGTCAAACTCTTGTAGCAGTAAAACCCAATGGATCAATCTCGGTTTGATGTCTTCTTTATCATCAAGTACTTTAGTGTGGTGTGATATGTGTAAACTATGACTTTGGAGCTAACAAGATACGACCTGAATTTGCTAAAGGCATAAACCACTGCTAATAGCTTATTCTCTACAGTTGCATAATTAATTTGTGCGTCATTTAGGGTTTTGCTTGCATAATAGATCACATGAAAGATTTTATTTTTCTTCTGTCCCAATACAGTCCCCACAGCATGATCACTGGCATCACACATTAGCTCAAACGGTATTTCTCAGTTTGGTGTTGCAATTACCAGTGTTGAAGTGAAGTTTTCCTTCAAGGTGTTGAAAGCTATCAAGCACACATTCTTCATCAATAAGTTGCATAATGGCTTTGTAATCTTTGAAGAATCCTTGATGAATCGTCTGTAAAACCCAACATGTCCCAGAAAGCTACTAACACCCTTAACTGATGTAGGTGGCAATAGCTTTTCAATTACTTGAATCTTTGCGTCGTCCACCTCGATTTCCTTTGTTGATACTCGGTGTCCCAGTACAATCCTCTCCTGTACCATGAAGTGACATTTTTCCCAATTCAATACTAAATTAGTTTCCCTGCATCTCTGTAAGACCAAATTCAAGTGCTCTAAGCACTCGTCAAACGAAGATCCAAAGATTGAGAAGTTATCCATCAATATCTCTGAACTTTTCTACAATGTCTAAGAAAATTGTCATCATGTACCTATGAAATGTAGCAGGGACGTTACAAAGACCAAATTGCATCCAAGGGTAAGCAAATGTACCATAGGGGTAAGTGAAGGTGGTCTTTTCTTGATCATCTGGAGCCACTGGTATCTGATTGTACCCTGAGTACCCATGGATGAAGTAGTAATATGAATGGCCAGCCAATCTCTTCAACATCTAATCAATAAACGGAAGGAAAAAATGATCTTTCATTGTAGCTACATTGAGTTTGCGATAATCAATGCAAACACTCCATCCCGTCACTGTTCTGGTAGAAATTAGCTCATTCTTGTCCTTTGGTAGTATCGTGATTCCACCTTTCTTTGGTACGACCTGAACTGGGCTACTCCATGCCGGATATATGATGCCTGTAATTAAAAGCTTGAGTACCTTTGCCCTGGCTACTTTTTTCATATTAGGATTCAGCCTCCTTTGACCCTCTATGCTTGGGCGAAAATTCTCCTCTATGAGAATCTTATGCATAAACAATGAAGGGCTGATCCCTTTGAAATCTGCTATGGTCCATCCAATTACTTATTTATTCTCCCTGAGTATCCTAAACAGCTTCTCTTTCTTCACTTCACTGACTGTGTTCGAGATAATGATCGAGAATGTACAAAACTTTCCCAAATAGATATATTTGAGATGTGACGACAGTTGCTTGAGTTCCAGTGTAGGCGGCTGCTAAATGGATGGTAATGGCTTTATGGGTCCTGCTCCAAGCTCCTCAAAGTTCCTTCTACATGTGTAAGGTGGGTTGGTCTCCAAAAATCTTGCACATGTTTCAATCTCTAGAGAATCGAAATGTGATGTTTGAGAGTGTGCAATTCAAACCTCGCAAGCATTTGATGGATTGTGTAGTAAGAATGAATCTTGAACCATCTTTTCAATCACATCGATCTGAAAGTAGCTAACCGACTCTGGAGGTAGCTTTATAGCCTTGAAGAATTAAAAGAAATCTACTCTTCTCCGAGCTTAAAAATCAATTGTCCTTTATAAACATCAATTAGAACTCTACCGGTGATCAAGAACGGTATGCCCAATATAATTGGAATATCTTTGTCTTCCTCCATATCCAAAATGAGAAAATCAGTAGGGAAAATAAAATTTTCCACTTTGATAAGCACATCTTCGATTATCCCTCGTGGATGTGTCAAGGATCCGTCAGCTAACTACAATGTCACAGTGGTAGCCTTGGCCACTCCCAATCCAAGTTTTCTGAAAACAGACAAAGGCATTAAATTCATACTTATACCAAGGTTACATAGAGCTTTATCAAAATACACTTCACCAATAGTGCAAGGGACAGTAAAACTCCTGGATCTGTCAATTTTGAATGAATTACACAAATGATCACTGAACTTTGCAAAAAGTTTTCAAAGGGTCATTGAACTTTAAAAATCACCTAAATGGTCACTGAACTTTGTAAAAGATTTCTACGTGATCACTGAACTTTGCAAACGATTTCCATGAGGTCACTGAAATTTGCAAAAGTTTCCCAGGGGTCACTGAATTCAGTGATTCAATGATCTCTGGGAAACCTTTTGCAAAATTCAGTGATCATTTAGGTGATTTTTAAAATTCGGTGATCTCCTAGAAACTTTTTGCAAAGTTCAGTGACCATTTAATTGATTTTTAAAGTTCAGTGACCCCTTGGAAACCTTTTACAAAGTTTACTGACCATTTGGACAATTCACTCTTCAATTTTGGTAGGAGTTTCTTTTGAATTCTCATGCTGCATTCTTCAGTTAGCATTATTGTCTCATGTCCCCGTACCTTACATTTGTCTGATAGGATGTCCTTTAGGAACTTGGTGTAACTAGGCATCTGGACTAGTGCATCACCAAATAGGATGTTTATGTAGAGCTTCTTGAAAATTTTGAGAAACTTCTTATATTGCTACTCCATTTTTTCTACTTTTTTAGCCTCTATACAAATGGAATGGGAGGTTCATAAAAGTTGACAGTGGCTATTGCTTTATCCCGTTATGTCCCTAAATCATCGGTTGGGGTAGATTTCTTTATCTACTCATCCTGCTCCACAATCTCTTTTTCTGCAAAAGGTGTTGTTTCTCTGTTTACACCCGACCTTTTGACGTGTATTTTAGGTAGCTGCACCCCATTTTGAGTTGTAATTATCTTCGTATGCTCCTTTGGTTGATTTTCGTGTTTCTTGATAAACTACCTAATGCTTTACCAATCAAATGAACTACCATCTGTCCCATTTAAGTCTCCAAATTTTTTATGGCGACATTTTGATCTTGAAAGGTAGCTTTTTCTCTTCATGAATTGATTATTGGCCTCCATGCACTAATTGGTCCTTTCATGAATTTTCCAAACATCTCCTCCAATTGAGGCTTTTTCTCTTGCTGTTGGAACTATCCTTGTGGCCTAATCTGATTTTGGTTATCCCAAGAAAAGTTAGGGTGCTTTTTCCAACTCAGGTTATATGTATCCCTAAATGAATTGTTTGGTTGGCGTTGTTCCTATTGAGCAAAATCTGCCTACTCTATTCCTTGTACTAAGATTGGACATTCCGCTATTATATGTTCAGTTCCGCTATTACATGTTCAGCTCCACGTTTTTCACAACTAACCTTCTTTGTCTGTGCTACATTAGCTAACTGTGACATATTTTCTACATTATGAAATAATAAGTCAATATTTGCAAACAAGGCAGAATACGCGTCCACTTCATAAACCCCAGGTGTCCTTTTTTGAACTGCTTGTTCTGATGTCCACATAGCTGATATAGTAGCCATTGTCTCAAATAGTTTCAGTGCTTCATCAATTGTTTTTGTGGACAACGACCCGTTGAATGAGTCAACAATGTTTTTGAAGGCTAGAAGTAATCCTGTTAGAAATATTGGACTTGGAGTCCCTTACTAATCTCATGATACGACACTTTCACAGCATGTTTTTGAACCTATTACAGGCTTCATCAAAGTTCTCTAAATCGCCTTGACAAAAAACAGATATGTCATGCTTTAACTTTGCTATCTTGGCAGGCAGAAAGAACTTGGTGCAAAATTTCTGTCTTAGATCATTCCATATAGTAATGTTGGCGATTGGTTGGGAGTTCGGCCATTCTATTGCCTTGCGCACTATGTATTGGGAACAGCCTCAATTTGATAGTATCGTCTGGGATTCTCTGATAGTTGAAGTATTGGCACATCTCCAAGAATCGCGAGACGTGTGTGTGTGGGTTTTCTTTAGCTTTGTTGTAAAACTGATGTCCATTTTGAAACAGTTGTATCACTTTGGTCTTCAACTGGAAGTTAAGCTGCCCAAACGGTGGATACACAATGCTTGATTGGCTTTTAATTATCTGCGGGTTCATGAAATCTCCTTCAAGCATGTTGCCTTCATCCACTGCCCCTTCTTCGTTGGCATCAAAGGATTGTTCTGCACATTAGCCATTCGTTGTTGTGCTTCCCAAGTTTCTATCTGCAATCGATGAAAAGTTCGCTCTATTTCTAAATTGGCTAGAATTAGGTCTCCTCAAATAGATCTCAGCATGCAAATTTGCGAGAAAAAATTTGTAGTAGCACTTAGATACTATAATAAAGCAAATAAAAAATGAAAATAAAATAAAAGAATGCCAAGATTAACGTTCAAATTAGTGCTAATGTAAATGAGATTAAACGAATGCTCAATCCCCAGCAACGGTGCTAAAAATTTATTCAAGAAATATTTTCTTTTGTTTTGAACCTGCAAGTATACGGTTCGTGACAAGTAATAAAGTGAAAATTTTGAATCCGAATATCGTCCCACAGGGATTAAGTAGTTTAATTCTTTCTAAATTTACCTTCATCGACACCAAATTGCCAAACAAGATGTATAATAACTTGACTTAACCCTAATTTTAATCCAATATGAAAATATGTATGACTCAAGTGAATTTGAATGCAAAATTGATGAAATCAATGAATATAAATCGCACTAGGATCACGAATCCCTACGCAACGTCCACTTTTAACCTTAGTTTCATAAATTGACAATACGTTGATATTTTGAAGAATCAATGCTCCTAAATCTATCCAACAATCTTTCTCGAGTAATGTTGAACCTATTCTCATATCTCACCAGCCTATATCTCTATGACGGATACAAGTATACAAGAATGCATGTAGTATCATAAGCACTTAAAGATTTACACAAGGCATAGCGGTATATCTCTATCCCCTATCGGACCCTACGATGACTTATACCATGTCGAACTTATTCCCCTTCTCTCAAATGCATGAAATAAGTCATCACATTCATATAATTACGTGCACATAATTATTGAAGCAATTGTTTGTATATAAATCATTCAAAATTCAAGAAACGTGTTTCGATGTCAAATTTGCAAAAATAAGAAATTAAAATTTACATCACGAAGTTCTCGATATCATAGTACATGAAAACCTAGCCTAACATGGAGAAAAGAACAAAATCATAATAGTTATAAGAAACGACATCACCAGTATATGAATTGGCTTGTAATCTTGTTGATACCCGCGTTGCTCTTCGTGATTGTCATGAAAAATCCTCTCCAATCTGAGTTCGTTTTCTTCTCCAGGCGTTCTGCCTCTAATTTGACAGTTTTAGGTTTTATATCTCGCATCCCAATGAAGTTTCACAAGAGTTTTAACTAAAACAATAAACTAAAGAATTTCGGTCCCCGAATGACCGATGTGACCGCATAATTAAATTAGTTTAGGCGCTTGAAATATCTGCTGGGGTGAATGCAGCCTCATGGTGTTTTTACTATGCGGTCACATAGTAGTGCAAATTTCCCGATTGTACCAATTTAGTCCCCGAATTTGATTTACTCCAATTTTGACCTCTTGTCCTCTTTTTTCTCATTCCATCAATCCATGATAACATCCAATTGGTGTTAAGCTCATTCAAGTCGTCAATTCCTTCTTCGGGTCATCTTTTGGATAATTGTGCTTTGGCCCCTAAGCTTTCATTTTTCTTCTTTTTGGCCCTTTTTCTTCATTCTCTTCCTTTGCTCATCTCGTATTATCCTCGAGTTGAAACTTAACTCTTTTGTGTTCTTGATTTGCCTTTTGGTTCAACCTTTGATTATTTACACTTTAGTCCCTGAACTTTCATTTTCTTTCATTTTGGCCATTTTTCACATCTTTTCTCTTGAATTCCGTCATATCCATCAATGTCGTCATACAAAACAAGATCTAATAGAACTAAGCTATATTTCACTGTATTTATCAGGAAATAGTCATGTTTTGTGGCTTGAGTAAGTGTGTAAAAACACACTTACCAATATTAAAAATAAATGTTGTTGCTTTGATTTCTATCTCAAGCGACAATTGTCAAAATAAATTCGTTTGCATCGAAACTTCATGAAGTATGAACGTATAGTAGAAAACACCATATAATGACATATTTAAAAATAAGCTTTCATCAACAATGTATAAGGTATTAAAATATTTTTCAAAGCCTCGTAGCTATTTGGGTTGGAAGGTAACCCAACGCAGTTTACTTAAAGTGACATATAAAATACTACAGATATCGGATCGACATGATTTTAAATTTGTTCAGTTGCTAATCCATGAGACTATCAAATCCCATTGGTTTCATACAAATATCCCAAGTAATGATTGAGTTATGAATTTTTAAAGTCAAGGACAAAAGCTAAAATTTTCAGAAAAAATCAACACTCAGTTTACTTAAAAGTGACATAAAATTTTACCGACATCGAATTGACATGATTCCAAGTTTATTCAGTAAATAACTTATTAGACTATCAAACAACACTAGTTTTGTTCAAAAATTCCAAGTAACAATTGAGTTGTGAATTTTTAAGTTCAAGGCAATATATATATATATATTGTTTCATAACCGAATTAAAAACATTAAGTCACCGACTTTTCCACAGCTCGTTGCATCTTTATCTACCACCATCCACAGCCCCCAAGACATTCAATGAACCTATAGGAAGGGAAAGAGCTTGAAACTCAATAGATATTATCGGTGCATTTCGTTATCAAATTAGAAAATTTGAACTATAGATTCAGATCGTCACATATAGATGGATTTTTGACAAAATTCAATTTCTAATAAAATTATCATAACACGTAAAGTCGGAGAATAATTATTTAAAATATAGTAGTGCTAAAGCACTGTACACAAAGGTACCAATTCATTCAAACTTTAAATGAAAAATCAAAATTTAAAAATGAAATAATCACTTGCACCTCTACCTACCTTAATTTGAAGTTTTGAAATGGATGAAATTGGACGGTGAATATTGTTCCTCGACGGTTCCCAAAGCTTTAAAATTTTGCTCCTCTCTTACGTTTTTCTTTCTTTTGAAAATCCTTTTCATTGATTTTTTTATTTTTTTTTATTTTTTGGTGAAACTTTTGTGTGTGTGTGTGTGTGTAGAAATGGGATAGAAATGATTTGGAGAAAATGAGAAGGCTAAATTCTTATTTTGTCTAAAAAAAACTAGTGGTATTATCCATACCAATTAAAGGAAATTTAAAATTGGTTAAATGGGTTAATTGTAGGTTTCATTCCTTATGTTATACGAGTGTGTGTTTTGGGATTAAATTGTAGGTTTCATTCTAATTAATGAGATATATATGTATATATTAGAAAGAATATAAATAACTTGCAGGAAATGAAAAAATCAATCCCAATTTTTGTTTTTGTTTACCAGAAACGTTTGGCAGCCATTGACTCCAAAAAGGGTCTTGAAAATGGTTAATTGCTATTTCATTTCTTTCATTATAGGTGGGGGTTTAATGTCTTAATTATTCACCATTTAATACAAACGTTTTCTCCCATATTTATATTCTTGTGTATGTGTGTGTAT